TGCACGCACACGCGCGCGTACACACCCACCCTTCTCTGCACATCTCTTCTCCCCCCCCCCCCCTCCCCGCTGGTTGCTGCGTGTCGTCCTGCGGAATTTTTCCCAATGGACCGTGGCGTAGGAAGAAGAAAGAGAGAGAGAGAGAGAGGGGAGGGACCGCACAGCGCGGCCTTTGTGCCGCGGCGCGCGAACAAGCCGGGGCAATAATTGTCGTATTATCTCTCTCTTCCGGAGTAAATTTAATCAATCCCGAGCGAGAGGGAGAGAGAGAGAGAGAGAGAGAGAAACGAAGCGTCGCGAGTCCGCTCCGTTATTGACACGCCGAGGGGTCACTAACCGTCCCGCATATCTTCCCTTCTATTTTCTATGTCTTTTTTTACATTTCCCGCACAGCCTGCCGCCGAAGGGGGCGTTTCCCCCCCCCCCCCCCTCCGTGATCCCGTAAACATCGGGCTCCCCCGGAGCCGCTGGGTTTTAACGACGTTTTTATTTTCGGCCCGCGCCGCGCTACGCCTGACTTTCCTCCCCTTCTCCGCGAGGGTCGCGGGGGAGTTTCGGCTCTGGCGACACTCCGCCGCGGCGCCTCTATTTTTCCGTCCTTCCCTTCTGCGTAGTTGTGACTGCGTCACGTCGGGCGCTTAGTCACGTATGTGAATAATGAACGCGTGCATTCGACCACTTATTTTCACGATAACAAAGGAAGCGCAGTTTGCCATTTGGCCGAGGAGATAAGAGCCACCTAAAGAACGACGCCGAGTTCGGTCGACTACGACGAATCGTAAATGTCCTCCTCCCCCCCTCCAGTTCCCCCCCCCCCCGATCCTCGTTTCGACCTGGTCGAATTCCTAATCATTATGTATCTCTGCTCTTCGACGCTCGCTCTCTCTCTCGTCCCCGATTTGTTCCGATAAGCAGATCCTAGTTGCAATTAATCGCGCCGTCACGTAATGCTAATTAGTGCCTGTTCCGTTTCCGCAGGCTCATGCATATTACGCGCAGTTTACTTGGTCAATTATTAACTTCTCGGTTAACGTAATTGCGGCTTCTCGCCCGACGTCTCATCCCGCTTAATTGCGCGGAAAAAACAGAAGGAACCGAGGCAGCTTTCACTCTTTGACTACTGACCTTCAACTTAAATCCCGGGATTCCCCTCCCTCCCCCCCCCCTCCACCCCGGTGGATTTTAACGCCGATTGTGTAATTCTCTCCGCCGACCGCTCGTTTCATTTGCATGTTCTGCTGTGCGGTCCGCAACTTATCCTGGTATTATTTTGTGCGTAAAGGCCTTCGCACACAAAATTCCGTAAGGGCGTAAAACGTAAGCGTAAGAAAATCGACCAATCACAGTCGAGAACGTAAGGCAATAACGCAAGCAGTAGCAAATCCAATCTGTTGATTTTCTTACGCTTACGTTTTACGTCCTTACGGAATTTTGTGTGTTTAGGCCTTAAAGGCCAATGAAAAGAATTACAAGCGCAAAAACTAGATTTGAATTTGTCACTTAAAAGGATCGCTAAAGGGTCCTTTTAAGTGACAAATCTTTTTTCGCAATTCGATGCACCGAAGAGCTAATATGTAACTAGATATTCTTATTCCTCATTACACTCGAATCGCATTAAAAAATGATACTACGTTTTAATGACTCACTAAAGTCCGCTTTCCAGAAAACTTTGGGTTTATGAATTTCGCGCTACGTTCGCCTCGCGCCGATGGAAACATTTTGCTGAGCTAGTACTATTAAATCGACGAGAAGTAAAATGAGAGTTGTTCAAAGATTACCGAGTGCCCAAAATGAATCGTAATTTTGCGCGGCGAAATTCAAGGCTACTGCGAAATTTAAAGAAAGCCACTGGTACACCGTTTAAAAGTAGTTCAGCCATCCTTTTTACCGACACAAAACCAGGAACAGTCGACTTTACATAAAAAGAACGAAGAGAAATTAAAACTATCACTTTATAAATGACTGAGGTTCAGGTGACCTTTCTTTATGCGCACTTTAAGGGGATGCTGGAGTAATTCTGCACTTTTGCACCTTTCTAACCTAAAAACTGTCGGTTCGCGGAAACATTTGTGTAATATACAAATTAAATGGCTTACGTGTACAGATCGAAAGCAGCTTGCTATTCCGGCCAAATGAAAGAACAATATGGCATTACTGAAACTAAGATTTGTAAGTCTAATAAAAAATAATAGTGAGCAACACACATACTACATGTATACTGTATGTATGTGTTGCTCACTATTATTTTTTATTAGACTTACAAACTTAGTTTCAGTGATGTCATATTGTTTTTTAATTTAGCCGGAATAGCAAGCTGCTTTCGATCATCTGTACGCGTGCCATTTAATTTGTGTATTACACAAATTTTTCCACGAAACAGACAGTTTTAAGTGCAAAAGGTGCGAAAGTGCAGAATCACTCCAGCATCCCCTTAATCGCGTGGAAGAATTTTGCAATTTTCGAAAGCCAATTTCAAATTTAGTTAGAACTACGAATTGAAACTTTTAAATACCAATATCTTTTTCATTAGACTTCTGACCTGAGTGTTTTAAGTATGAAAACGTTCTGCTATGCGGTCCGCAACTTATCCTGGTATTATTTTGTGCATAAAAGACAAAAAGATTTACCGGCGCAAAAACGATATTCCACATTTAAAAATGATACTACATTTTAATGACTCACTGAGGTCCACTTTCTAGAAAACTTTGAGCTTATGTTCTTGTCTGCGCCAGACGAGCGTATATGATACGTGCGTAATCAGATTCTTTAGGAAAGGAAAGTCCCCTATTATGAGACAGGCTCCTAATATGAGATAGCGGAGCGTTCTCTAAATTAATAGGCATCGTCTGTTGGTTTTATCATGAATTTATTGCCCTTGGAGTGAAACCTGTTCAGTCGAAAATTGATTGTTAGATCGTGTAATCGTTGCGAAAAAAGATTTTTCATTGAATTTGTCGAAAACCTACTATCTCACGTTAGAATCCTGTCTCATAATAGAGAACTTCCCCCCCCCCCCCCCACTGAAGAAATATTTGACGTTGCTGAATTTAACTAAAAACTTAAGCCAACGGCGCGCGAAATTCAGTGGGAAATTCGCACATTTTTCATTAAAAAGTAAAGCCAACGGTACACGATACTATTGTTTTCCTACTGAATTGTTCGCGAGACCCAATGAGGACGTAGAGTCTCAGGTCGGATGACTTGAGGCGAAATCCCGATTGATTCTCGTAAGCAGTCCAGCGGGAAAGATAGTATCGCGTGCCGTTGGCTTTACTTTTCGATGAAAGATTTGCGAAGTAATTTCCCAGTGAATTTCCACGCAAAGTATCGAATACGCGATAACGGAAGGGGATCAGAGACTCGATCGCGAATCTTTTCTTCAAGCGTGAACTCGTGGAAAGGTGAAAAATTTCATTGATATAAATATAAAACTCGTCGATGAAAATTTTCTCACTTTTCCACGAGTTCACGCTGGAGCTCGGAAACGATTCTCGAGTACACCTCGGCAAAGTTTCACCGCGCCTTCGGTAAAATAATTCCACGAGTATGCGTCCAATTGTTTTCTCCGTGGCTTTATCGCGACATTGAACGAAGTAACGTGACATCGGCCGCTGACAGGATGAGCTGATTGAGATAGGCAGGTTTTCCACGAACGAATATTCCAATGATTCAGCTCCCGCTATACATATATCCATCCGTCTACAATTACGCTTATTGGCGATGCCGAGTTGCACACCCGTGTTCAACCGCTAATAAATCTTGGCTCGCATCTTCCGACTGACCGCGGCGTTTGTTTTTCGCGTACACTTTATCGAAACTTATCTGTTATCTGCCGTATCTCCGATCTTTATTCGTCATCAGATAAACACCCGTTCGCGTGACTTGACGTGGGAATAAATGTTATTTTATTTCCACGTTACGTAAGTCCCTCCCGTTCCCGGCGCCTTTTCGATGACAATCCCGGTGAAACAAAAAATACCGTTTCCTTGTCGTTACAGATCAACGCTTTAAATGATTCGCATCAGCAATTGATGGTACATTGGGTCGGCGAGGGCTCCAATGTGATAATATGTCTGGCGAGGGACAGCACGCCCGTGGCGCGCTTCACAGGAGGCAGACAAGTCCCCCAGAACACCCATCCTAGCGCTGTGTACATCAGTTACGATTACGGCGACACGTTCGAGAATAAGACTGAAATGTTCAGGGTCTCGTCCGAGCCCAATGCTCAATATGCGGTTGTGGACAAATTCACCAATCATCCTAAGTACTACCAATACGTGAGTTCCGCTTTACGAAAACGTTCCTCCCGCGAGAAACAAACTGGCTCGTGTTGTTCTCCCGGCGTGTGGTCTGTCCCGATTATCGAGACGTCCTTTCTTCTTGCAGTGCGTCTTCGTGGACAGCCTGAATAATTTAATCTTCATAACGTTCGACAACGGTGTAACAATGCAAAGGCTCACGGTGCCGTTCCACCCGAGCGAAGTCTCGTTTTACGAAGGGGATTCACGGGTGCTCGTCGGCCTGGACAAGGTTGATCCGGCGCAGAAGGTACAACTTAATATTGTTTAACAACCATTTACAGTCCGAATTTACATCGTTATCGCTGCTTCATTCTGGAGGGCATAAGATAGTCGTGCGGGAATTGGTCTTTCTGACTTTGGAACGTTTCAATTTCACGGACGAGTATTCGACCAGAAATTTATTGCGAGAAACGTTACCTCAGGGAGTTTGAACCTGGACCGTTCTCACTCCAGGCGTCTCATCGGTTCTGGTGGAATATTACTTTTGTCAGTTATTTAATCACCGGCGAAGAAAATATCACTCACGTTTGTTTCAATTTCAGTTATGGTTGTCGACCGACCGTGGTTTGTCCTGGATGCCGATTCATTTATTTGTCAAGGCTTTCTTCTGGTCACCGTATCGTCTTCTATTGGTGGAACGCTCGGATGCTTACGGGCTGAACACGGTCTTGAAGCTGGACCTGAAAAATTTCCCTTGGCAACCGAGGACGAACACCGCAACGCGAGTGAGAACGTCTATACGAAAGGAATTCACCATCATTATTCAAAACGTTGAGGACTTCCAGATCAGAGGTGACTACATGTTCGCCACGATGAAAAATTCGAAGGTAAGCGTCACGGTGCTGGATAGGGAATCTCGTCTAATTCTCTCGTAAGATCGTCTAATTCTATTCTTTTCGACAGAATGGAACGTCGGAGCACCTGGATCTGTACGTCTCCTACAAGAATCAGACGTTTGTCCCAGCGCACTTTAACACGGAACTGGATTGCAAAGATTATAACATTGTAGACGTGTCGTTCAATCGGGTCTTCATCGCTGTGTCGCACAGCGACACTATGATCAATCTCTACGTGTCGCAAGTCATAGACCACGAGAAAGCTATATTTACCCTGTCTCTGGAGAGCATCCTCACGTTTTTCCCCAACAGCACTTGGAAGGACAGCTGGTTGAAGTGAGTAACGAAATATAACCATTTTGTGAAAATTAAGTTACGAGCTTTGCGAACTTGTAATCATTCTGAAAGCTGCGGAACTCGTGAAAATAAGATTACATTAAATTTCTTCGACTCGCTCTTGTACTTATGCGCCTGTGTCTCTGCAGTGACGTGGCTGACGAGGCATTCACGGATCTGTACAAGGTCGAAGGTCTTCGGGGTATATACATAGCGTCGCGGGTGAAAGGTAATCCGAAAGCGAGCGCGATCGGACCGGAGCACTTAGAATCGTTAATCACCTTCGACCACGGCGTCACTTGGAACAGTATCAAGCCACCGCAGACGAATCACGAGGGCTTTTACATTCACTGTCCAAAAGACTGCTCGTTACATTTGAGTCAGAGATTCAGTCAGTTGTATCCGGTGTCGAGAGCCGTCACTATCATGAGCTCGAAATCGGCGCCCGGAATAATAATGGCCACCGGCGTGATTGGGCCCAGTTTGAAGGGCCACGCCGCGCTCTACGTGTCCAAAGACGCGGGTCTCACATGGAAGCAGGTGTTGAAGGATTATTTCTTCTTCAACATGGGCGATCACGGAAGTTTATTGGTGGCGGTCAGGTATTTCAAGTCGCGCGGGGAGACCAGAGATATCTTGTACTCGACAGACGAGGGCGAGACGTGGGCGACGTACGAGTTCAACGAGAAGATGCTACGTGTCTATGGCCTCATGACGGAGCCTGGAGAAAACACCACGGTGTTCACTATGTTCGGCTCGGACAGCGGGCAGCATCAGTGGCTCATCATCAAAGTCGATTTACGAAACGTGTTTGAACGGGATTGCACGGAGGACGATTACAAGTTTTGGTCCCCGATGAGCGTCGACCAGCCGGTCATGGCTTGCATGTTGGGACGTAAGGAAACGTATCAGAGACGTGCGCTGCACTCCAATTGCTATCAGGGCGTCAACTACGATCGACCGGTGCGGCTGGAAACCTGCCTGTGCGATGCGAACGATTATCAGTGCGGTACCGGTTTCATGCGCGTCGGGAATCCCTATCACTGCATTCGCAACAAATCCGTCGTCAATTACGATCCTTACGCCGTGCCGGCTTCGTGTAAGTCCGGCGAGTTCTACAATCGTACCAAGGGCTACGTGAAGATATCCGACGACGATTGTACCGGCGGCCTCGCGAGGAACTTCGAGCCCGACGAGATCCCGTGTCCGATGGAGGAGAAGCTGGAATTCTTATTGGTCGCCCAACGAGAGCACATTACACGAATCGACTTGGTGGAGAATAGAGTGGAGACGTTACCTGTGCACGATCTAAAGAATGTCATTGCAATAGAGTTCGACATGGAAAACAACTGCTTGTACTGGGCGGACATTGTGAACGACACGATCGGTAGACAGTGTCTGAAGGATGGCTCTAGCTCTCCCGAGATTCTCGTCGAGACCGATCTGAGCTCCGTCGAGGGAATGGCCTTCGATTGGGTGTCCAAGGTGCTCTACTTTGTGGACGGTGTCAAGATGAGGATACAGACGATCCGAACGGACTTATCTTCCATGGGCCGAATGCGCAGGACGATATTGGGGCCGAACAATCTGCAAAAGCCGCGAGGCATCGCGGTTCATCCTATGAACGGCTACATGTTCTGGACCGATTGGGCGCCGGGCAACGCCTCGGTCTCCCGCGCCAACTTGGACGGCACGGACGTGAAACGACTGTTCGTCAAGCCCACCGTCGAGTGGCCGAACGGAATAACGATCGATCATATCGCCGAGCGTATCTACTGGGTGGACGCTCGCGCGGATTACATAGCCTCCTCGGACTTTGAGGGTAAAAGATTCAAGAAGATCATCGCCAACGACGCGCGCGTCTCGCATCCATTCGCGGTCGCTGTGTTCAAGGACAACGTGTACTGGGACGATTGGAAGCAGTCGATGATATTCATCGCCAACAAGGATCACGGGGTGGGAATCAACACGGTGGTCGGTTTCCAGATTGCCGGCCTGATGGACCTAAAGATCTTCGCGCACAGCGTGCAGATCGGCACGAACGAGTGCGCGACGAACAACACGTGCTCGCACATCTGCCTGGGCGCGCCGCGCAACAGCCACGTATGCCTCTGTCCGGACGGCATGGTGATGACCGACGGCAAGTGCCTGTGCCCGAGCGGTATCAAGCCGTACGCCAACTCGACGTGCCCGCGCGTCGCCAGCACCTGCTCGGCCAACCAGTTCGCCTGCCTAAACAACGTGTGCATCCCCGAGTTCTGGAAGTGCGACGGCGACAACGACTGCGGCGACAACTCGGACGAGGCCAACTGCAACCGCGCCACGTGCGTCCCGAATAACTTCGAGTGCGACGACAACAAGTGCATACCCAAGTACTGGGTGTGCGATCTGGATCGTGACTGCAAGGACGGCAAGGACGAGATGAATTGCACGTACAGCAATTGCACCGAGACGCAGTTCAAGTGCAACAACGGCCGCTGCATATCGCATCGCTGGCGCTGCGACAGCGAGGACGACTGCCGGGACGGCTCGGACGAGCAGAACTGTACCAAGAGCGTACAGCCGAACACGTGCCGCTCCGACGAGATGGTCTGCAAGAAGGATCATTCGTGTATACCGACCACGTGGAAGTGCGACGGCGAGCCGGACTGCGACGACGGCGCCGACGAGAAGGACTGCAACAACATGGTGTGCGAGTCGTGGCAGTTTACGTGCAACAACACCAAGGAGAACGGACATCGGTGCATATACAAGTCGTGGGCGTGCGACGGCGACAAGGACTGCGTCGACGGTTCCGACGAGATGAATTGCACCACCATCACGACACCGCTGCCGTCGCCGCTAAGCCCAAGCCTGCCCATGAATTCCTGCAACGATTGGATGTTCATGTGCAACAACAAGAAATGCGTGCCCTACTGGTGGAAGTGCGACAGCGTGGACGACTGCGGCGACGATTCCGACGAGATCGGCTGCGGCGGCGGCATGGACGGCGGCATACTGGAGCCCACGCCTCCGGTTCACACGACGCAGCAGCCGCGCAACTGCCGCGAGCACCAGTTCCAGTGCTACAACGGCGACTGCATTGAAAACGCGTGGGTGTGCGACAGCTCGAAGGACTGCCCGTCCGGCGAGGACGAGCAGCACTGCGAGCAGATGCACACGGCCTGCCGCGAGAACGATCAGTTCATGTGCCGGCAGGACGGCTCGTGCGTACCGCTCTCGAGCATCTGCAACGGCGTCGAGGAGTGCCCGGACGGCAGCGACGAGCTCGGCTGCCACGCGGACTCCGAGGTGCACCCACCCGCCACGCCGTCCTGCTACGTCGGCCTCTTCCCATGCGACGAGACCCGCTGCTTCCCGCTGGCGTCTTACTGCGACGGCAATCACGATTGCTTGGACGGCTTCGACGAGAGCAACTGCGAGAAGAACGGCTCGCGCGTGTACCAGGTGCTGGTGATGGGCGTGGACGAGCGTTCCGTCAACGACTCGAGCTTCATCCTCTATTGGTGGATGCCGATACCATCCAACGTGACGTTCGAGTTCCTGCCGTCCTTCGCGCGGGCGGCACCAGGGGCCAAGTGGGCCAACGTCAGCGAGTGGATCGAGGACACGGAGTACCAGTTCAACAATCTCGAGCCGTACACCAAGTACAATCTGACGGTCTACGTGAAGGTGAAGGGCCAGGCTACCGTATTTCCACCGGCCAAGTATCTGGTGGTGATGACAGGCGAGGGCGTGCCGTCCGCGCCATGGAACGTGACTGTCGCGCAGAAGAACGGCACCCGCGTCGAGGTGTCCTGGAGGCCGCCCTACCATCCCAACGGTCTCATCATCGGATATCTGGGCTTCATCACGCCGCCGATACCGCCGATGGAGTTTAATCGGCAAAAGACCTCCACGATCATCGACATGGAGTTCGAGGGGGGCAAGAATTATTCCTTCTGGATCGTGGCGAAGAACCGGCAGTATCAGTCGGCCTCGTCGGCAGTCGCCACGCTGACGTTCGACGGCTCGGCCAACATCGACGACATCGAGGAACTCCGTGTGGTGGCCACGACGAATCACTCCGTCACCCTGACGTGGAAGAAGATGAAGGACGTGGACGGGTATTACGTCACTCCCAGAGCGCCGGCGCAGTACGCGGCCCTGCAAACTGTCTCGACCCTGAAAAATCTGATAGAGGTCGACAAATTGGCGCCGGGCATCAAGTACACCTTTGAGGTCGGCGCGATGAAGAAGAAATACGTAGGTAAGGTCTCCATGGTGACAGCAATGACGAACGACACCGCGCTGCCGACAATATCCAAGTTCGACGCGCAATTGGTCAAGTCCCAGAGAACGACCGTCAAGCTCACCTGGGAACCCCCGAAGAGCAGCATGAAGATTAGGTGGCAGTACGCTGTTCATTATGCCACCAACATGTTGGACTTCTTTAAAGGTACAAAGTCACTCGCGTTTTCCTCATACGAGGATTATTCCGATATGTTTATACATTTTTGTTTCCGTTTTCAGCTTATAAACTCGTCACCACTAATCTCACGGCTACAATCAAGGATCTGGAGGCGTGTGAATCGTACGTCTTTGCCGTTGGCGTCATTGGGGATCACGGAGCGGGACCTCTAAATCAACCGATGACGGTCACGACCCACTTCAACAAACGTGCGCCTCCGAAGAGATTGCGAGTGACGCCGTCGGCGGATAAAAACGACAGCATAATCGTCTCGTGGAGCGCGAGTTGTCCGACGATCGACGAACCGATCAGTTACACGGTAAATCAATAATGCTACGAAACACTTCCTCGGGGAAGTAACGTCGCAAGAAAGAGCTTTATACTCGCGAGAAGTCTCCCTAAAATTATCTCTTTCCGATGAAAATTTTAAAACGCATGTATTGTAGTTTTTCTTTAACGACGGTATTCATCGATCTCGTATCTTTTTCCCCCCCCGATTACAGATTTCTGTTACGGAAATAGTTCTCAACAAGCAGATAACTGTGACACTGTCACCGACTAACGAGACCATTATGAAGCACACGTTTAATGCCATCAAGTACGGCGGGAAGTACAGTGTTACAATAAGCACAGATGTTGAAGATGCCATACCGACGCAACCGTTCATCTACATAGCACCGCCAATCAGGCCGCCTCATCAGCTCACCGTCTTACGCGGTGAAAATATGGAATATTTGATTTATTGGCAAGAACCGGAATTGCCGGAGAACATTCGGAACGATGCCGATGCGCATTATGAAATTTTTGTGGCCGAGGGATCGAGAACGATAAACGAATCGACTGCCACAGTCTTGCTGGCCAAAGACCCGCCTTACCACTACAAAGACGCTAAAATGGATACGATTTACACCTTCGCCGCGCGTTTGGTCACGAGCGAGGGCTACCAAAGTCCAATGAGCGAGACCTGGAGCACGCAGGTTTCAGGTGAGATGTCTCTGACATTCCTTTCCGAAGCGAGGAGCCTTTGCTTTAGTAATAAACTCTTCAACTCTTCCCTTTTTTATTTAACGCAGGATCGCAGCTTCCGGTGATAATGAACACGTCGGGCATATTATCTCTCGCTATACCGATCTGTCTGGTCATTGTAGCGCTCGGTGCTGCGCTTGCGTATTTCATCGTTCGCCATAGAAGGCTGTCTAACAGCTTTACACAATTTGCCAATAGCCACTACGATACGAGACGGGGACAAGCCACTTTCCCTGGCACGACAGACGGTCTAGGTGAGTGCTACTTTGCGTCTGAAAAAAAAAACAGCATAAGAATGATACGAAACAATATGAAAAGGAACTAACGACTGTTTTCTCTGCGTTTTCTTTTGAACAGAAGAAGAAGATAGTCCGGTAATCCGAGGCTTTTCGGATGACGAACCGCTCGTAATTGCATGAATACCATATATATGTATAAACGGAATATTTACGTACTAGGGAAAAGATGTGCCAAGACTATTAAATATGATAATTTTGAATATAGACGAAGCTTTACAATGGAAGGCAAAAACTCTTATGAAAGCGTCTCAAGACTGAATACTTAACTGTGGCCGGCATACTTGTGCTGTTGCAGTTAATGACTATTGATCGGGGGGTAAACAGGCTGCTTAGAACGCTTACACGAGAGTTTTCACGTCATTCATTACAGTACGTTGTAGAAATATGGTATACGTGTACATGACGAGTGGTCGGAGCAACTACCTGCCGTGTAGTTGGAGAGGCCATTCCACCTCAAATTCGAGTGTAAACAAATCAAGACGGTCGTAGGTTGGAAATGTTTTACCATTTAATGAGACGATTGCCAATCGAGGTGCAGTCGACGGTAATTTGTATATAGTAAATATTTTTTATGGATTGATTGTGAGACCTTCGAGATGACACATTTGCATTTTTAATAATGTATTTATACGACCTGTATGTATGAAGAAACTTTTTTTTAGTCCATATTCAGATTTGTTGACGCGAAGGCGAGTTACCGGACCTTTTTATTAAAAGCTGTTTTAATAAACACCCACAGAGGCCATAAGTTTTTTCCATATAGCAAGTGCATGACCAAAGTTAACGCCTTCTTCTGATGCCGCATTCACAACAAGTTTATCAGTTTTTCCTTTGTTCACAGAATACATTCCTATGAAGTTTCATTCAAGTTCTCCGGCTTGAGTTGAACTTCCTATGATCGTCCCGATTAGAATTTCATATCGAGCGCGATGCGGCATTGAAAGAAATTTTTATACGCGAGTTTCAATCTCGCGAAAGGGTTACCCGACCCACGTAAAAAGTGTGCTACAGTTATTACGATTTAACACAATATTAAGAATTTTTTTTTATTTTTAGGCACACGTTATAAAGATATTTGTCGAGTAATGGTATGCTTTGTACGGTTAAAGTGAGGATTACATTTTTATTTTTTACATTAAAAAGATTATTCTTACTAAGAATGCTATATTGGGATTGGAAAGAACTGCTATATTGGACGTTTTTAGTTTTCAAATTAGGAAAGGTTTACCAAAATGCCGATGAGAAAACGACGAAAAAGTTAGCGGCAGCATCGTGACTTTTAGATTACTGTAAATAATGTTTGAATAAGCGTGTGATCTTTCACCACTTAAAGCCATGTTGAGTCATCTGGAAACGACACTAATGGTTAAATTTCGCGATGAATTATATTTTTATGTCGGTATAGTCTAAGATTCTCGAATGGTTTTCTCGCTGCGGCAGGAAACAAACTACAGATTTCATAGAATCTTTTGCTGTATATGACACACATATACATACACACGAGTGATTATTATACCGCGGAGAGTCTAAGGGATAAGATTGATTGCGTATTCTTAAGTAATTGTCTTTTTTTCTCTCTTCTCTTCTCAAACGAAAAGGAAGCGTGCGATGCGAGTTTCTAAAACTATTTGTGCGTGATCATTTTCTTTGAGTCAGTATGTCAAGCCGAGGGACGCGTTAAACTAGTTGAATGAGCGGACATTTTATGTGCCATTGAAATTGTGAATTAATATAAATCGCGATAAGATACTACTTCACACTTATATTCCATTGCGGCATACTGATGTTTCTGAAAATCTCGCTTTTTTTTTAACAAGAAAGAAAATGATGAATTAAGGGTTAACAACACTCTAGAGCCCCCCAAAGAAGCCAAATTTTCGGTGATTTTTTTCGCAGGAATATAATAAACGTAAATGAAAATCTGTTTATTCCTATTTATTCTCTGTACATTGGAGTGTAAAATATGTTTTATAAATTTTTCCTCAACAAAATGGCGGCGCCCGAGCCACGGATCCAAAGTGCCTCTTTGCGGAAGTCCCACGGGCGGAAACAAAGCTCCCTCATCCTTTGAGCTAGAATAAAAAACCAAAGATTTTTAAAAATATATAAGATTGTCTTTCGAACTACGTACGGTTCCTTTGTGTCGCATCTGACATGATGGTTGACCCTCCGTCGACTTACTTTTTGGATCCATGATTTGGGTGTCGCTATTTTGTTGAGAACAAATTTATACAAAAAAATGTTTTTACACTTCAATGTATAGAGAATAAATAGGAATAAACAGATTTTACGTTTATTATGTTCCTGAAAAAAAATCACCGGAAATTGGCTTTTTTGGGGGGCTCTAAAGTGTTGTTACCCCTTGGGGTACGCACGAAATGATGGTGGCTCGACGAGAAGACAACAGTATTAGTGAGGCTTGATAACGGTTCCTTTGTGTGTCGCATCTGACATTATGGTTGACCCTCCCGAACGAATTGAATTGTAAAGAAAAGGTACCTCTGCCAATATTCGACGCGATTACGTCCTCGGCTTATCAATGTTACTTTTCTCTTTCTTTCCCTTTTGCTATATGTCGTTAAATGTTGCAGAAAAAAATACTATAGAAAATGTCCATGTTTTTAAACCCGTGTTACGCGGCTCTTATATATAATATAATCAAATATTATTGAGAGACAATTGTATTAATAATAGTGATATAATTGACATCACATGATATCAATACATTTGATATCGTCGATATCATCTATATCGAATGAGCAATATTGTTACGTAATATGGAAAAATATGTAATAATATTGTTCACGGGCTGTTTTAGAGAGAGAGAGAGAGAAAGAGAGAGCGTGCGATGAGAATAGAAGAGAATATATATAGCTGATTTACATGTAAATGTCAAAAGTTACAACGCGATAAGAGACAGTGATATATAATATATATATACATATATAATATATTTACGTGTAAATAAACGAACTTAAGATACAAAATATTGTCATTTAAGTATTCTCATTTTTCTTCACAAATTTATTTTTGAAGAATTGATATCTACGCATTTTTATAAGTTTCATGACATACACGTTACAACCTCCCTCGACTTACGTTTTCACTAATAATTCTTATCGATATAATTTTTAACTGTGCTACTTATTTTTCCTACACTGAGAAAAATGTCTGATTAAATATAATCGGATAATCCAATTATATAATAACAAACGGATATATCCAATTAAATTGTATATCCGATGAAAAATATGATCGGTTTTTCGATCAAATTTCATCAGATGTATCCATAATTTAATTGGAAAACGTAATCGGAAAAATTAACCATCGGAAACACTATTTAATTGGTTTATCCGATGAAAATTTTTCCCAATGTACTATTTAGTTAAGAGAGTTAGTTTATCGCTCATGTCACGAAAAACTTTCTTATTTAAATCTTCTATCGGAAACTATTGATATTCAATATTTTAATTACGAAAATTATTGACGCCAATATTTTGCGAAAAAATATTTAATTTTGCTAGAAAATCGCAAAATTTGGTGACTTTATGGTGATATAATTTAATGTTTTTTTTTTAAATCTAGACAGTGCGCCTATAAGAAAGGACAGCATGTTTATTATTCTGTCGAATTCACGAATTCTGGCACGATGTAGCGGATGTTCCGGGCCATGCCTTGATCGTCGAAAAGTGGAACGGCAAAAATAATAGTTTTGCTTATACGTGACAAGCCCATCTCGTCCAAGGGATGTAAAAGACTTCCGTTACCATTCTAAAAGGCAGTTTGGAAGTTTGTGACCCGTTACCTCATTAAGCAAACGGCACGAAACCGGAAATTCAACACCATCCTCTTCGCACTTTAATTCGTGTCTTGTTATGCAAATGCGGTCAAATACCACGGCCGCATGTACAATGCTCGATTACGTTCATCAACGATTATTACACTGTAATTATCCTGAATGATTAGGTATATTTTATGCATTTAAAATTATTTATATACAAATATTTTAGCATTTAGCACAAGTTATAAGTGTGTGCAAAGATATAGTGTGACTTCGTGAAAAAACTTCGAGAATCTCGAAGCTCGTCGAAATGCACGTGTATACATAAAAAAGCCTGAAGGATTGAAAAATTTTTCTACGCGCCTTTTTGAGACATAAGTGAGGTCAGCGTAATAGAAAAAAATTTTTACATTTGTTGAAAGATAACTAATACGCTGGCTAATGGCTTTTTTTTGCCAGAGACACGCCCTTCCATTTATTAACATACCCTCTTCTGAATCGTGCGCATGATATTTCTGCGATAAATTTCGACCGCACTTGACTCGCGGTGGAATAAAAAGAAATTTAGAGGCCATTATTCCGACGTTACGAAATACCGCAATACCGCTTGCCTTCCGCTCAACTGTATTCACTTTTATTACTATCTTCCACTCCGGTCCTTACGCTTCGTATCCTCTTCATAATTTCATGTACGTTACATTTCATCGTTGACTGGCAATGGCATGGGTTATTCCGCGAAATTAGCAGACGCAGTGTGTCACTATCATAAAGTCCTGTAAGAGATACCCAAGATGATTTATGGTATACGCGGTTTTGTTGGAACGATTCTTCAACTCTGAACAAAGACGATTCTTCATCTCGGAGAGGACCATGCATAGTTTTCTTCGCGTCCCCCGCGGGGGATCAGCGACATCATAAATTTCCAAGGGCCGGTTTTTCCAATCTCTTGGTGAACTAGTTAAATTATGTGTCTCTTTTTTTAATTTAACGGAAAAAACAAAGATTACATATAATTTAACTATTAGTTATGATAATCTCTTTAGGTTGCCAGTAATAAATAACAATGGATAAGTTTAGTCGACCTTAACTGGCACTTGTTTAATTTATTAAGGTCGACTAAACTTATCCATTGTTAACTATTAGTTAATGCACAAAGATGTTGGAACAACCTGCCCCAAGTGTTATAAATTTCCGGGTTTATTTCAGCCTTCGTTTTAGTAACGTGATTCTGTTTTCGCGCGCGGAAAAGAAACTAATCTTATCTACGTTCGCGCCAGGAATATATATGGGTCTCTGTAAGACTTTCGCTCTATAAACTTTTTAGTCCTCTGCCTCTTTGGCTATTTTTTCTATTTTCGCTCTTCGCTCTGTCTCTCTTGCACCTACAGTGCTACGTAGCTTATAGAGGCACAGCGTTACAGAGTATTTTTACACAATAGACTCGCTAATTTCCGTGCCCAGTAATGAACGCGTTTGTGCGTGCGCTGACATCCGAGATATTTCCCTTCTAAAAGAGCGGCGAGATTTAGAGGCTTTAGAGCCTTCTTTATTAAAATAACAAATTCACTTTTTTGATTCAATGTATTTTTTGCAAAAACAAAAATTAATATCGGTGTGTTTTTTATTTAACAAATCAATTTACACGATTGTCGCACAGTCGCAGAAATTCGTGCCTCGTGTGTCGTGCCAGAGCGGGCTTGTTCGTAGATATTCTTTCGCGGCTTGTTTTTTTTTAAATATTATTTACGAGACTCGTAAATTTTCACGCTAATCTACTTAATCGGCCGTAAACTACGCGAGGGAAGGACGTCGCGTCGTTTTACGTTAAACGACGCGGCGCGTTATAGCGCGTAAAACTCGGGGCAACCGCAGGCGCGTGTACCGTAATCATAATTGTTACCCTAATTATACATGCTGCCAGTATGCGTACGCGCTCCTCTTCTAATCAGATCGTTTGAAGTCTAAATCGCCGCGCGTTACGGAGCGCGGATGAGCGCTACCGGGTCTACGTCCGATCCTCGCGTTGCGGCTAAACGTCTCGCATCGAGCGAATTGTTTAACGTGTAATCCTTCGGCTAATCACATCTATTTTTTTTGGCTATTTGCGCAAAGAGCGTACAAGTAACGTAAAGCTTTTACATTACGCACGTCCAATTCGCGAGTATCTTCCGCAGACGGAAAAGAGAGCGCGTTCTCGTTACATTAGAGATCTCTTAATTTCCTGCGGAATATCATATTTAACGATTTATACGAGGCAAACGTTATTCCTGACGTATCTAGAGCAGCTTCGCGTGTATCCGTCTACGTTATTTCAATAACTGCATGACTTTTAAGAAATCGTCTTGCTCCGTAAAGTTTATTAAGCCTGGCATACGTATTATAAACTAAATGTAATGGTTTTCTCGTTTAATATATAAATCTACGCTCATAAGACGTGCTTTTTAAAATGTGCGTGACGCGGCAATCAATCTTGCATTTTCTAAAATCACTAACGACAATTGGCTCGCGTAAATTTTACGCCGCAAAGTGTAACAGCGGCAGCGAAACATCAAGCGATCACATTGCTCTGAGTTTGAAGCGACGATCAGATAGTGTTAAATTTTAGCAGAAACGTAAAAATCTAAAGACCTGTGTCCACGATGCTAGAAAACTTGGTCCAAGTTCTAGTTTCGAGAAATGTGTAGTCAACCAACCTTTTATCGAATAGCTGCAAGTTGATTGGCTGCACATTTCTTGGAATTTGGACCAAGTTCTAGCATTGTGGACACAAACCTTAAGAGGCTTTGCTGTCGTGAGACTTTATTAATGTTTCTAAAATCCGACGGGGGATAAGAAAAATAATCGTCGAGTGCAGCATTGGCAAAACAATTTTTCTTTATGCTCCTCTTATGTTCTTTATCGAGCTGTGCGTGCATAGAAGGGAAATGTGATTAGCTCAGGGTTGGGTAGTGTCTAGTTAAAAAGATAAAAGTTAAGTTAAAACGTTAAAAAGTTATTTTAATTTAACTTAATTACATTATAGCCTGTTAACTTTTAACTGAATTTAGTTGCCTTTCATCGGTAACTTTGAATTTACCTTTCTTAAAGTTAGCCATGCTATGAACAAAGGCATTACAAGACGCCGCGCGTCTGCCTACATTGGCAGTTTCTGTGTCTCAAAATTCACTGCCAGCGCTAAAAGTCTACAGGATACGTTACGTGCACTGTAGATCTTCAGCGAGGACAATGAATTTTGGAACGCAGCCATTATATGGGATTTTTTATTCTCGAAATCACGTAAAATTGTTCCCTGTAGTGTGATTGATTGTCCAAACGCTGGTCGTGAAATTCAACGCAGTTTACGTGATCGCGAGAAAAAATTATGTCCCTGAGATTTTATATAAAAATAAAACAAATTTAACTTTTAACTTCTTAATTTCTTTTTATTATTAACTTAACTTTTAGTTAAATTAATTTTATTATGGATTAGCTTCTCTCTTAACTAAGTTAAATTTTCAAGGCTGTTAACTTTAACTTAACTTAGTTAAAAAAGAGAAGATAACTTACCCAACCCTGGATTCGGTGTACGTTAAATGGCAAGTATTTTACTTGTTGAAAAGTGCGGACCTACTTTGAGGACGTTCTCACATTCAGGCCGTCAATCGCTTTTCATTCCCAATAGCCTTGATATTTATTGTAGAAGAGCAACGTAATATAAATTGATAACCAGAGGCACGGAGGACGGGCTTTCACCGTGTCGTAGAATTTTATTGGATTTCGATAAGGAGTGAGATGCGTACGTAGGAAACGCAACATATATATAATTAACATCATAATTTATGTAGGTGAAGGGGAAAAGCAGAATAATTTGAACGCAAGTGCGAAAGGTACAGTCAATAGGTATTCTTGTTACTTCATTTTCGTCTATTTCTTGTCTTTTCGGAATTGGACGGACTTGTACGATCAGGATTTATTTCTCCTGCTTAGCAGGTACCGTTATCAGATAACTTATTAGTAAGTCGATTACGTGGATTAAAGAGACATATGTATGAGGCACGTATTTTTTTTTGCGGTGTCAGAAACGGACTTGACTTCTTTTTGCCCAGCGACAATTAGATAATTTATTGGCGAGCTGATTGAGGAGACTCAATTGTATTAATACCTTCTGTCGCTTCTTCAAAATCTCTGCAATTAAGGCGACGCAGTTGATTGAATCACCCGACTCTT